TTGGGTAAGAGCATGTTTTTGTGGTTGCGGGACACGTTCGAGGTAACCGAATCCTTATCGAACGGCAGACTGGGCTCCTCTCTAGGGATCGGCATCTGAACGGCCAGCGGTTGCGCTTCCTTCTGAAGCGTCGTGTCATGGTGATACGACACCAGCTCGTTACTGAAATTCACCGCCTCCACTGTGGTGCTGGGGAACATTTTATTGCAACCCAAAATCGAGGAGAACGCTTTCCTGAAGTCCGCGTTAAAGGCATAAATAACGGGATTGAGGGAGGAATTGGCCCAGCCGAACCACACGAAGATGGTGAAGGTAGTGTCACTCACGCACTGGCAGAAGGGCACCATGCAGTTGAGCACGAAAAACGGCAGCCAACAGAACACAAAGACCCCCATAATGATCGATAGTGTTTTTAAAACTTTGGTCTCTTTCTTGAAAGTGGTTTTCAGCGAGTTCTCGTTGGAGCAGTCGTTGGACTGGTGGTGGTTTTGCGCGTGCTCCGCTGCCCTCTCCAAAGAGGAGATCCTGCGGATCTGTGTTTGCGCAATACGGAATATCCTCGTGTACGTGGCGATCATGATGATCACGGGGATGTAGAAACTTATCAGCGAAGACGAGATGGCATACGTCCGGTTCAGGTTGGCTTTGCAGTTGTCGCTGTAGTCGGTGCCGTTACCCGCTGCGCCCTCCTCATCTTCCTCAGCCATGTGCCAGTTGAGCTGGACCGGGATAAAAGAGATGAGGATGGACAGGGTCCACGCCACTCCGATCATCATGAAAGCCACCCGGTGGGTCATCTTGCGCTCGTATCGGAACGGGCTCGCTATGGCCCAGTAGCGGTCCACGCTGATGATGCACAGGTTGAGGATGGACGCGGTGGAGCACATGATGTCAAAGGCGATCCAGATGCCGCAAAACCGGCCGAAGAGCCAAGTGCCCGCCACCGCGGATATTGCCTCCCATGGCATCACCAGGACGGCTACAAAGAGATCAGAAACGGCCAGAGAAATGACGAAAAAGTTGGTCACTTTGGAGCGGAGGTGCCTGAATTTGACCACGGCGGCACACACGAGCGTATTCCCTAACAGCGTGGAGACGATGAGAAGGAAGAGCACGAAACCCAGCAGAGCGCGCACGCTGTTCTGCCCGTCTCCATCCTCTCGCTCCTGCGCTCCTTGCGCGCGGTCCTGCGTGTGGTTTGTAACGTTTTCCATCTCTAACAACATATCCGTTTGTATCGCATCTGACCAAATCGCTTCATAATGGCCAGTTACCTTGTTTTAGGATACGCTTTATGAGTGACCGGTCCGATATCCAGCTCTGTCCCATGTTGGCAAGTTGGGAAAACTGCGTCCGTCCCCGGTGCTGAGCGCGTGGAATGACCCACATTCATGCGCTGGTGCGTCTCGCTCGAGAAGTTCTCGCTTTGTGATTGGTTTATGTCCACTCCGCTGAGTCCGTGTGATCCACACCAGCATTCATTCCCTCCAAATGACTAACTATAGTTGCCAATTAACCTGAAATCTAATTTCACCAAGTCTGCAGAAATTACATACAGAAAGCACTGTCTACAATAACATTTTACAAACGATAAGTAACATAGCACATTTTGACAAATGGTAACAACTGACAGTGCAAACAGATATTGCAACAACAACAACAATATATGTAACAATTACACATTTAATAATTAAATATAATAATTTATGTTCAAGTTGCAAAGTTCTGCATGTCGTTGATTCCTAATGACCACAGAAGGATTCAGTAACATTAAGAATTCAACGACATGTTTAATGAAATTAATCTATGACAAGTCAGTTGTTGAAGTGAAGTTAAAAGGCATGACTGACTGATTGATTGACTGACAGATTGATTGATTGATTTGTTTTATGTTATTGTTGTTTTATGTTTGCCTAAAGATACAAATAATGCACCTTTAAATCGTCATTTGATATTTTTATTTTAGGAAAATATGTTAAATTATGATGTTATGAAATGTACCATTTTATGTTAACGTTATGTTTATGTTATGTCAGGGCTGGACGATATGGCCAAAATATCAAATAAATGCAGGCTTGGTGAGCAGAAGATAATTCTTTAAGAAACATTAAAAATCTTGCAGTTCAAAAACCTTTGACTGGTAGTGTAGGCTGATTATTCTTATAGATAGAAACGTGCATTAACCAGGATAACGAGTATGAAACATGCTCCGAGTTGCTTCAGAAAACAAAAAAATAGAGCAACAACAAAAGCATGTTGCTGGAAATGGGTTTATTATTGAAAATGCAAACTGATTGTCTGCCAGCAGGAGGCGCTGTGAGAGCGGTGGAACTAACGGTTTCTCCAGTAATGGCTGTAAACAAAGCAGCTCCGCTCATGAACGCTACTTTATCAGATAAAAATACCATCTAAACTATTCTGAAGACAGTCGGTTCCCTTCAGAGATACATTCATATAAAACACCCGCGACGCGTTTTGATTTTGAAACGTGCAGTGCTCATGTTTATTCAACGAAGTCAAACGCCACAAATAAATCAATGTATGGGAAACACTGGTAATGTATATCGAAATATCGGAAATGCGTTTAAAAATCATATCACCGTTATTGAAAAAAATTATATCGCGATACATATTGATATTGAATTATTGTCCAGCCCTATGTTATGTTAATTTTTACATATAACTTATAGTGCAACATGATTGGCAGTAATGCAGTTAAGACTGTATATGTCTTGTTTAAAGAAGTTTAAAAGTCTGAAAAGCTGCACTATTCTGTCATAGAGATACATACATACAGTGTTTGTGAATGGCAGCTGCATACGTGTCAAGCTGCATTTTCTTCTAGTTTTGGTTTTAAGTTTCCCAGTCTATTCACTGAGGAACTCCTCTTTATTCAACTGTCAAACGTGTTACTGGATACTGCAATATTTTTTCTGCAGTAATGGTATAGTGCACTGAAATTGAATGATTGTTCAAAGTATTTAAAAAATACTCACAGGAACCCAGTAGGGATGGGCATGATTAATCGACGATCGATAATTGATCGTTAAGAATTTCGTCGATCACGTTAATTTGTTATCGATTAATCTAATGCATTTTTTTTTATCTAATTCAGGTTGCCTGAGTCTTGAAGCAATTAAATGAATTTCACTGTGTGGCAGCAATTAAACATTTTACCACCAGGGTGCAATATTTGACACCATACTCGGTTATCTGTGATCTTCCGTTTTGATTTCAAAAGAATAATCATGAAGAGGTCACGGCGAAGTGTGGCGTGGGACCATTTTGATTTAAAAAGCGAAATAGTTCACTGCAAACATTGCGATGCCGTGTATAAGTACAACACGGCCACGACTCAAATGATGTACCACTTAAACAAAGTGCATCCGTCCCTGGTTAATGTCGGTGGCGGTGCATCCTGCTCTCAGTCTCAACCTAGCATCAAGTCGGCGTTAGCACGGACTCGGAACTGTGATGCACAACGAGCAGAGAAAATTACCCAAGGGATCTGCAAGTTCATTGAGATGGATATTCTGCCCTTAAGTATTGTTGAGGGCAATGGTTTTCGAGAACTGATACATTTATTGGAACCAGCATATCAAATTCCATCACGACGTACCATCACTAGACTGATATGTCAACATATTCTGTTACACCAAATACACAAAATAATGATCTTTAAAAAAGCATCATATGACCCCTTTAACTTTTCCCCCAAATGTGTTCTGTTACATCACTTAGACATTGAGAGAACTGAGCTCATTAATGTTAATGCAATGGCTAAGAATAATGCATCTTAATGAATAAAATCCAGCCTTCATGTTATACTCAGGAAATAACACAGCAGATATTTTTATTTTATGAATGCTAAGCCAGAAGTCTACATTCTCTAATTATATGAATTTAAGGCGAACTACATCCTTTTTGAACAAAAGAAAGCTTACACAAGAAGGTCTCTCATGGATTTTAAATAACAATGCACCATAGACGTGTGTCACATTACATTCCTTGAGTACATTTAGGGGAACTCCAGCAACATAAAATAACAATCCTTTTTTTAGTATCTGTGTATCTGTGATAAGTATCTGTGGATACTAGGAACTTCAAATTAGTGAAATTCCAAACATACATAAAGGGTTTAACAATTGTAAAACGTAATACTGCAGATGTTTAGTTGTTAAATGTATTGATTATTCTTGTTACAGATCCCTAAACCCATAAGGCTTGTGAAATGCCGCCCTCTAGTGGTCATTTTGACGATAGATAGATAGATAGATAGATAGATTGATTGATTGATTGATTGATTGATTGTTGACGATAGATAGATAGATAGATAGATAGATAGATAGATTGATTGATTGATTGATTGATTGATTGTTGACGATAGATAGATAGATAGATAGATAGATAGATAGATTGATTGATTGATTGATTGATTGATTGTTGACGATAGATAGATAGATAGATAGATAGATAGATAGATTGATTGATTGATTGATTGATTGATTGTTGACGATAGATAGATAGATAGATAGATAGATAGATAGATTGATTGATTGATTGATTGATTGATTTTTGACGATAGATAGATAGATAGATAGATAGATAGATAGATAGATAGATAGATAGATTTTATATTATCTTATTTGTTAGTTTTTGTAATTTTGTTGTCTATTTTTGTCAATTTTATTCATTACTGATTTTTAAAATATGTCTGTATAGTTTTTAAAATTAATTTTGCATTTCAGTTTTAATTATTTTAGTACATCAAAATTAAACTAAAGTTAAAATTCAATAAAAAATTTGAAATGTTGCTCTGGCAATTAGCTAAGATAAAATAATTGTTTAATTTTTTATTGTATTTCAGTTAAAGCTTATTTTATTTCATGTAACTTTTTATGGTTTGATGTAAACGTTATGGAAATATAAATCACATAATGGAATACGAATAATGTGTATGGAATTTTTTTTTTTTTTAAGTTTATGCTTTTTATGTTGACTTTAATCATATAAAACTCCAGTTTCGGTTTGGGTGCTGCTTTGTCAATGTAGAGTGTCCTGCAGTTGCTCCAACTGTCCGGTGGATGTCGCGTTAACTCCTGGAAATCCCACTTCCAACCTTTTGCTTGGAAGAGACACGCCGACACCACATTCAAAATGGCCTCTATTAGCGACTGCGCTGGACGTGGATCAAAATGTGCATAAACAACACCGAGCCGTTACTTTACTCTCCATCCTTAACGCTACAGCGTTCGGAGGCGCGATGTCATGAATGTACTGGACTGGCAGAATCAGCGGAGTACATAAGATGAGAGCTTGTTTTGCAGACAACCCAGCCGAACCGGGGTCCCGCCGCTGCAGCAGGGCTTCATCTGCCTTTCTGAACCACCGACACCTCCAGTGAAATGGAAAGAGTGGAGAATGCTGCTGATGAGCCGGGACTCGCACCGTACATCGATGTCAACGACAACCGGGAGGGGTACAAAGCACGCGTTTGCGGTTCAGACCCCGAAAGAGCACGGGAGGGTTCTGTTTACAGTTCGGCATATGCGAATCCGGGTGGTGCTGGACAGCCCTCTCTCTCCCCGGTGGTGATGGGGTACAGGGCCGGAGTTTTAAACGGGTTTCCCAAAAAGCTGGAGGTGGGTATGGTGTGTCCGAATGGAGAGGGGGGAACCCGGCCCGGCCCGGATCGGGTTACAGGGACTTCCGAAGCCGAGTGCTGGAATAAATCCGACAGAAGCTATTTAAATTCACAACTGAGGTCTGCAGTGTCATTTATGGGTATAAACTCGCCGGATATGAAGATGCCTAATGGAGATGTTACCCATGAGCACATGAACCTTGATCAGACTCATTTAAGGTGTTTGGATTATGCAGAAGGAGTCAACAGGAAGGTGCCTGCTTTAGACAAAGGTGTGAAAGTGGGTAATGGGGGGTTGTTGATTGTGAACACTTATGACACCCTTTCTCAAGTCCCCTTTAGAGCCTTGGGTAGCCTTCCTGCTCCAGAAAGCCGTGTCTTTGTTCAACAAAGCGACAGTGTCCTCTCCACAGGGAGGTCATGTGAAAGGATCAGTCGTGCCAGTGCTGAGAGCTCAGAGGAGGCCCAGCCCTGTGACCCGGATCCTGCAGACACCCTGTCAGACCTCAGTGCCAAGCTGTCCTTTTCTCCCCTGGCAGAAAACACCAGCGATTACACAGAGACAGACCCAAGCCCAGAGGAGGACTTCAGCGACATGGGCCCTCCTCCCCTCAGGCCCCAGAACCTCCGGACTAACTCTGGTCACACAGTCTCCCTCAGCTGTGATGCCACTCCTCTGAGCCCCGGGGATGATGGGTATTTTGGAGCAGAGGGCGGTGTGGATGAATATCTCGGCTCTGTTAAAGCATTCGAGGGAGGCCGGCGGCAGAGCGCTCCAGACAGGGTCGCTGCTGACCCTGATGCTTCATATGACCAGATGCTTGGCACTAAGAGACACGGCATTGCTGAGTTCCTGACCAGGTAGAGAAAGTTGTGTGCAAGTCTCTTGAGTTGCAGTGAACCTCATTTTGATTTTACAGCAGCCCCATTCAGATGTCTACAAAGAATTACAGCTTTCTGTAGGTTATTTATTTATATATTTATTTTTTTAGAGGACAGGATGTATGATATGATCAGGATCATTTCAGGGATTTTTTTTTAAATATTGCTAACACTTTATTTTAAGGACCAATTCTCACTATTAACTAGCTGCTAGCAGCATATTGGCTCTTGATTAGTACTTATAATAAAGCACATATTAATGCCTTATTCTGCTTGATCATATTTAGATCCCTTAATCCTGCCCCATACCTAAACTTAACAACTACAGCCAATTAGGAGTTTATTGAGGAACTCTTAATTAATAGTGAATATGTGTTTTCTATTCTAAAGTGTTACCAAAATAATTGTATTAGATGATATTACACTATCATTGGTAAGATTTTTTTTATTGTTTTGGAAAAAGTCTCTTATGTTAAGCAAGGCTGCATTTATTTGACCAAAAATACGGTAAAAACTATAATATTGTGAAATATGATTACAATTTAAAATAGCTTTTCTATTTTAATATATTTTAAAATGTAATTTATTTTTGTGTACTCCAGTCTTCAGTGTCACATGATCCTTCAGAAGTCATTCTAATATGCTGATTTGATGCTCAAGTAACATTTCTTATTATCATTATTGAAAATAGTTGTTAATATTAATATGTTTGTGGAAACCATGATTCATTTTGTTTTCAGGATTCTTTGATAAATAAAAAGTTATATATATATATATTTATATTTGAAATGGATTTCTTGTAACAAAGTCTCTACTACTTATTTGTTGATAATGTTATCAGCCATAATATAAAAATAATTGGCTACTCAATATAGATACATCCTTACAGAGCAAGACAGGCATGTGTGAGAGAGAAAATTGGATCAGAAAATTAATCCCAACAGATTTACACAATGACCACATCTCTGACTACTTCCTTAAAGCTTTTTCTTGAATTACTGCCGTTTTTTTTCCAGATATTATCTACATTTCTTATTTGAAGTGTTGAGCTGCCTGCGAGGAAGCTCTTTATCGTTTTAGAGCAAAAGTCACACTGTTGCACGCGTGATCAGGCAATGAATGACGAGTAATAACAGGTGCTTTGACTGCCACTCAGTTGTGGCTTCTTTCTTCATAGACATGCTTCACAGAAGGTCTGAAGTGTGCTGTTTGCTTGTGTTATGTTTTCAGATGTTTGATGAAGAGAAGCTGCTTTGCTTTATTAAGGTCAAATACAATTTAAAATAACGTTTTGGCATCTCAGTCTTTCATGGAGACAAAATTTAGCATCAGAACCAAACCGCATGGTATCAGACTGCATATCTGATTTGTTTCCGTTATGTTTGGGTTTAAATCACCTTATTGCACCAGTAATGCAATACCAGAGTTCAGAGTGAGTCCTCTTCCCAGGAGCTTTGGTCTCAACTCAACAAAGACCTTCATAGACTTTTAGCCTGGAAAAAACACTCACCCATACACACACACACAGAGGAATTTTAATGTCAGCGTTTATGAGTTGGGCTTCAGGGTGTTCTGCTGCTGAGACTTTGTTTCTGCTCACTACGTATCTTCAGTTCCTTTTTTTTTTACAGGAACAAACTTCTCCTTTCCAGCTGTACCATACCATATCTTCCTTTGTCACACTTTCTTTTTGTCCGTCTCCCTCACTATTGTGTCTGTCATCCTATCCGTCTCTCTCAGGACAGTATTGACCTGCCTCACTGGCTTTATTGTGTGATTAAGATGGCTTTATATCGATTGTCCCGTCAGAAAGCACGTTCAAAGATTTAAAAAGCTCGAGGCTTTATTTGCAGGATGCTGGTGCTGCTGTATCACCACGAGCACTATGAAATCCCCCGTATTAAGCGCATTAAATCCTGAGACCTGAGCTGTCCAAGATCTTAATTCCCTATGGTCATAGTCTGAACTTAAGTTTAATGGTTGCCATATTTTGGCCTCTTATTTCACAGTAGAGACCTGCACGGGACGGATTTTTCAGCACACACGAGTCTCTTCCCGCCCGCACCCGCACTCGCCCATCAAGAGTTGTCCCGCGCCGCACCCTGTTACGCTGGGTCCCGCGGTACTCCCGCGGGAGTGCAGGTCTCTATTTCACAGGCTACAAGGACTTAATTAACTCTGTGGGAATCTCTCTCTTTTATTCTTATAAAATTATGTGGCATGTGTTTTTGAATAGTCACTCTTTTGGTCTCTCTTCCTGTCTGTCTGTCTTCAAAGGAGTTTGTTTTCCTGGAAGCCCAAAGCATCTCACAGTGCTCCAGGATGGAAGCTGTTTGGGAAAAATCCACTGCAGGACAACCCTCTGAAAAACTCTAGAACCATACAACAGGTAAGGTTTAAAGGAATGACATTTCCCAAATTTTGAATTCTGTTTTTATTTACTCACCCTCATGTCTCAAACCTGTCTGATTTGCTTTTCTGTGGAACATAAAACATATTAGCCTTTTTAAATTGTATCAGTCAGTATTGGATATTTGTAATTGTTCATGATTATTTACATCATAACATTATGATGTTGTGATGCCTAAATTGACATTTTAGAAGTAGAGTAAAATAGAGTAAAAACAGTTATGTTGTGAAATATTAGTAAAATGTATTCATGTGATGGCAAAACTGAATTTTCAGCAGCCATTACTTCAGTTTTCAGTGACAAAGGATCCTTCAGAAATCATACTAATATGCTCAAAAACATTTCTTATTATTATGAATGTTGAAAATAGTTTAATATTTTGCTTCTACTTAATAAAGTGTAATATTTGCTTCTGCTTAATATTTTTGTAGAAACCATAATATATTTGTTTTCAGGATTCTTTGTTGAAAAGAGTTCAAAAGAACAGAATTTTTTTTTGAAAAAAGTTCAAAAAAAAAAAATTTTTTTTTTTTTTTTTTTTTTTTTTTGCAACATTATGAATGTCTTTACGGTCACTTTACTGTGTTGATCATTATATTGCATTTTTGCTAAATGTATCAATTATTTATTTATAAAATCGTATTGCCCCCAATCCTAAATATATTTATCTCTCTCACACACACACACACACACACATAGATCTATATAATATATATATACACACACACACACACAGACATATACATATATACACACACACACACACATATCTATATATATATATATATATATATATATATATATATTACATAAAGCTGGTAATAATTCACATAAAGTGTGCAAGGATGCCTTTATTTATTTTTTTTATGAAATTATATATTTGGGTGAATATTTCCTTAAAGAGTGTATAACGCAATAAACAGTAGCGCTGTTTCCATAACCAGAAACACTGAAGTCCATACCCTTATTTGTGCAGAGAAAAGATAGCAAAGCAGTATTTGCTGAAGAGGGTTAGGGAGAGATCGAGAAAGCAAAAGAGAAAGAGGGGGAAGAAAAACCAAGTGAGACAGAGTCTCTGAAATAAAGAAGGATTGAGATTGCTGGAAACTCTGCGTAATTTTGTGTGTCAGCCAGGAGGGACAAGTGTGTGTGGGGCAAGCGTGGGCATTATGTGTGTGTGTGTGTGTGCAGCTGTCTTTACCTCTTCTTCTTCAGTAAGTGATGACTGAGCCTGTGTTGTTTTCAGCTCTGAATTTGCGCTCAATTCACCCTCCACACTCTGCAGGTGTCTCTCTGTATTCCAGAGAGAGAGAGACGTCCGATAAACTCGCACACGGAGGCTTCAGATCCTCCTCTTCTTAAAGGAATGTGGTTTCTTAACTTAAGTGTATCAAAAGTACATATAACATCTAAACGTTGAGTTAACAGAATTCTTACTGACCTTGTCTGTGTATTTATGTTCTTTAACCTTTTAACATCATGGCCATGTAATGTCTTTCAACAGCATGGTTACATAAAGCTGGTAATAATTCACATAAAGTGTGCAAAGATGCCTTTATTTGTATTTTTTTTTGCAAAGTCTGACTAACAGACCTAAATAATGAGTTTGTGGCTTTGTCCAGTATGTATACACATAAATTGAACCACAGTTAGCCTTGGTGTTTGTGCCATTACTCTGTGAATGTAAATGTTTTATTTCTCTGATTGACCTGTATTGGAGTTATGCTGTTTGTGGTTCAGTTATAATATGGGTTAACAATAAGGCCATTGCATTTGGGCCTTTCACTCATAGCATGTGGGAAACTCATGACGGGATTCTTCCTCCCTTCACATCTCCTCCGGATATGTGGCAGCTGAGAAATGTAGACACAGATCTGCTGTAATCTCATAATGACTACCTGTTTTTTTTTTTTTTAAGGAGTATGAGTCCAGGGCGGGGCCTGCCACAGGACCACCCCCTCACCCTCAGCCAATGAGATGCAAGAATCTGGAGTTTGAGCCTTTGTCCACCACCGCTCTCATTCTGGAAGACAGACCTCCGTAAGTGTGAAACATGAACTACAGCTCCCATAATGCACTGCTTCAAGTGCTGCAAGCTTCCATTTAATCAAATATTTACCCAAATTCCCTGGGCACTGCTGGTGAAACACAAGCTGTCATGCCAAATGTGTGCATATAAACCTGAAGAGCAGGTTTTGTTTAAAAAATTCTCTTAATGTGTAGCAGAACAGTATGTGCTTTGCTTAGTTGTTAATTGAAAACTGTCTTTTTGTATAGTTAGTGTTGGGCTCACTCAGTAAGGTGTAACCAGGGCCGGATTTACCTCTTTTCCTGACATAGGCAAAGCAAATTTTTGGGCCACCTTCCCTATTAATATAATAGGCCTAATATTACCACCCAAGCAAACAAAAATATTTCTTAATCAGTGAAACCTTTACAGTGTTTTCTATCTCAATAAACGCTTGCGTTCAGTCAATAAAAATCTAATGTAGCTCTTAATTTGTTTGAGAACTCAGAAAGACCATTCCATTAATAGGTGCGGTGTACCACTTCGGGAGTTATTTCTCTAATAATTTTAACGGCCAGGAGTCACAACCACACATCAAGACATTGTTCAGATGATTTGTTTCAAGACATTTGACATGTTTCCGTCCTGAAATGTGTTTAACTATTTTTTACGCACCTCATCCCTAACCTTCCATTGCAAATTCCAAAATGTCATTTTAGAGGTAATAACAGAGGCTTGAGCCATTGATATGCAGGCTAATGCAGTTATTAGAGAGAGAGAGAGAGAGAGAGATATTAAGCACGTGTGAATACTTGCGTCTGTGCGTCTCTCAGCAGTGTTCAGCAGCAGCGTCTACTAATAGCGAATCTTTAAGTTAAACTGCATCAAGAACCTCCCTACTGAGAAATGTCATGTAGCTTTTCAGCTGCGATACAGTTTATTGATAAATTCGCGGGCCGGCGTTGACGACAAGTTTCTGTCCGCGTGTGTGCGCGAGTGTGTGTGTGTGCGCGTCTGTGAGAGAACCGGAGAAAGCGTGATTTCCGTTCATAAAAAAGGTGGAAGACGTGGAAATAGTTTGTAATTTTTACCCTATTGTTTGTTATATTTATTTACTCAATGTCTTCTGAGGTTTTGGTTCTTTTATTGTTGTAGATAGCCCATAGTATAATAAAATATTATATATCTCTTCATTGTGTTTGGGCCCCCCTGGACGAGCGAACATAGGCATGTGCCTAGAATGCCTATGCGTAAATCCGGCCCTGGGTGTAACCAGGTAGATTTCACACCTGAATGAGATTGCTTTTCATCTGGTTGTAACTTGGGAGTTTGTGGTTTGAAACTAGCTAAAACGTAGTTACTTTGCATTCCAGATGACATGCTCACAGAGAGGAAATGATTCTGATGTACCACATATTCAGGATTGGGAGCCAAATGTAATAATTTAAGAATTAACAATTGAAAAGCCCACATAACTGTTCTGAATATTGACTTAAATGTGTCTATCTCAGTGTATAAGGTGGTTATGTCCCTGCTCTGAAGGCACTGTCCAAAGAAAATGTACAAAGAACTTCATCCATAGAGTGATTTCAGTCCTCTCAGGGCTCTACAGTGCGACCATTTCAGTCGCATTTGTGATTGAAAACTACTGTGTGCGACTATGAAATATTTAGGAGCACCAGTGCGACTGACACGATCAGCATATTTGTGTTTTCGCTCAGGGGAGCTTCAAAGTTTTCTACTTACAATGTGTTTTTGCAGTGTTTTGAGTAATGTATCAAAGACATATCTGTTTATACCTTGAATGCAATGTTAATCAGAATGCACTCAAAACACCAGAGTTTTGTTCAGTGCCGAGTTATGCAAGTTAACGAATCCTCTCATTATAACAAACAAAGTGTAGACAGGGTGTAAATAAGAGATTCATTGTGCAGTGTTAGAGAGCTTCTTTGATTAAAATTGAACTTTCTGACAGCTTTTATTGATTTGATTTTATAGATTTTTTTAGTGATATTGATTTAATGCAACAGTTCAATAAACAAGAAGTCAATATTAAGTGACTTTCATTGTCTGACTATAACACTATTGCCTGATTTTGCTCTATTTTGTCAACGAAAATAGTTTCAAACTAAATCACTGCTGAGTCGCTGCAAATCTCCAAGCAAACGGCTGTTTCGTTTATGAAGGAACTGTATTTTTAAATGAATCTAGTGAGTCAATGATTCAGTTACCCATTCATAAAGAGAGTCACTTGCTTCGTTCCTGAATTAATCAGCCATTAGAACAATTCAATTGATGATTCGGTGATAAAAGCAGTGACTTGCTGCCACCTACTGGCAGTTTTAATTTTATTTTTTAAATAATTTATCATTATTCATTATTATTTATAGTTATTATTTCAGTTATTTAAATCATTCAATATTTCTATATTTAAAATGTTATATTTAAAACATTAATCTCAACATGAATTTCTGAAATTAATTGCACTCATGCAGCCACCTCTGAGCCTCATTAAACGTCTGTAAATATACCTACATTCCACTTTTGTGTTCTTCTGTGCCACCTCTGTAGTGCAAATTAATTTTGTTAATACTGATTTAATTTTATCTGTAACTTACTCTTCTTATTCTGTTGTTTTAATTAGAAATTTTGAAAACGCTTATAAATATACATTTTTGAATTTGACATAAAATATGGCATACTTTTAATAAAAAATGCCATTACAATGGTAAAAAGAAATGCCCCTGTAGATCACTTTAAGGAGTCAAATATCACCTTGTAATGGGAAGGCTAATTTTTGTTATTGATCGGAAGGTGCTCCTGAATTTTTTTACTGTGCTCCTAAATTTTTTAAAGTAAAAAGAAAAGTAAGCGTAGAGCCCTGACCGTACACTTTTCTTATAATCCATGTCTGTTTTAGTCTTTGTATCATTCCTCTGACTTAAGGATTTGGCCTAAATTTAAAACCCAAAAACAACTGACTGGAGTTGTGCCAATGAAAACATGGACAAATCCTTTCTTGAAATCTTGAACGTGTTGCAGAAAATTTTAGTTATCTATAATAAATGGTCAGTTTTTATGTGTAAAGCAGAGATTGTCCCTTGTCTCTTGTTTTTTTTTTTTTTTGCTTCATTCAGCAGATTTGGTTTTGTGATTACAATTTTCAATAAAATTACAATTCTATAAAGTTTAATAAAATTTCACAATATTTATTTTTTGATTTTATTTTTTTATCAAATAAAAGCAGCTTTGGTCAGCATTAGAGACTTCTTTAAAAAAAAAACATTTAAAAAAAAATCTCATTGATCCCAAACTTTTGAACAGTAGTGTATATTTGGGTGAAGGTTTTTTTGTGTTTATGCAGGTTCAAAGACTTCTTGTATTTTTAGGAACCTGCCAGCTAAATCAGAAGAGGAATCTCAGAGACACCGGCAGGAATACAGCGAGATGGTTGCAGGGGCCAAGCGAAGGGGTGAGTAACATGTGTCTCTTTGTGCAGACATTTATTAGACTGTATTTGCAATGGAAATGACATTTGACACTTGATCTGTTGGCCATACACCCCTGTATTTCACTACCTCACACAGCTGCCCCTCACCCAAACACACAAATTGTTGTTGCATTAATGTTGTTGCCTATCCACACACACACACACACACACACACACAAACACTTGGTCTTCTTTTTCTTAGAGATGAAAGAGGCACAGAAGAAAAAACGTCAATTGAAGGAGCGATACCGACAGGAGGAGAACATCGCCAATGCCATGGTGATCTGGAACATGGAAGTCCTGCCTAATTGGGAAAGCATGTAAGTGTCCCATCCATATATCTGTCCATTTTGCACAAAAAGTGGATTTATTCATGCCTTTTAATGTAATGATGTGCTCTGTTGCTATGACAAAGGCGTAACACACGGCGTGTACGAGACCTTTGGTGGCAGGGCGTCCCGCCCAGCGTCCGCGGCAAGGTCTGGAGCCTCGCCATTGGGAATGAGCTCAACATCACCCCAGGTAACTATGGCGACTGCTGGACTCCTCACATTTGGTTAGTCTTGATCATCTGTGGCCCTATGGCTGTGTGTAACATCAGTCTGACAAACAAACACAGATGAAGTGTGTTGACAAGGAAGCAGCTGTTGCATTTGTCACAGCAATTGTGCTTGTGTCTTTGTGTCTGTGTGTGTTTTAGAGCTGTATGAGATCTTCCTGTCCAGAGCCAAAGAGAAGTGGAGGAGCTTCAGCGAGACGAGTTCAGTCAATGAAAATGAAGGTCTGTTTGTTCTTTTTTTGCTTTTCACTAACCTGTCTGCAAGCTAAACTACATCACAGAATGAAGTAACTAAACAGTCCTATCTTTGAAAGTGAAAGTGAAGCCAGGTTGAGGTGAAGCATTGCCAGTGTGTGTTGGTGTCAGATGCATGGTTTCCATTAAAGGGGTCATATGATGCGATTTCAAGTTTGTTTTTTGAACATTAAAGCATGTCAACATATTCTGTTACACCAAATACACAAAATAATGCTCTTTAAAAAAGCATCATATGACCCCTTTAAAAGCTTCCTGAATTGCATCACATGATATCAATAAACCAGACAATATCTTTTCTTATCTACTCTGACATGTGACTGGATGATACCAAGAATATTTACAACATATCCATGATAATTCTGCTGTAAACAAGGTGAATACCGTAAAGAATTGAATATGCTCTTTAAGAGCCATTAAAGATGTTTTGCATCCTGTCTTGTCTCATGATTCGCAAGTATCAAGTACGAGAGCATTAAGACAAAGTTGTTTTAATAACATCTCTGATTGAATCATTTAGTAGCAAAAATAGAGTTGGTGAGAATTTCTTTAAACCAGTTTAAACAGTTCATTGCTTAAGTAAACCAGTCAAAACTCTAATTCAACGGTTCATTTGCATCATCATGAATTCTGAAGAATTGTGTGACACTGAAGACCGCTGCAAGAATAAATTACATTTTGAACTATATTAAAATAGAAAAAGATATTTTAAATTGTAAAAATAATTAACTGTTACTGTTTTTTTAATTGTTTTTTTTATAGTATCAAACAAATGCAGGCTTGGTCAGAATAAGAGACTTCTTAGAGAATAAGAGGGTGAAAAATATCTAATTTTTTTTAACTGTCAACCAGCTGTAGCCTGACTGATGACTACTTCTGGTTTTAATTAATTAGAATGTGGAGTTTCACTGGCAGACAGAGAGTCGAGTCTGGATTTAATCAAGCTGGATATTTCCAGAACTTTCCCCTCTCTATACATATTCCAGAAGGTAAGAACAGGTGTTTTGGTGCTGAAATTATTATTATTATTGTCTGTTTTTATTTTGTTTCCATCATGACTAATTTTGTCCCCTCTCTCTTTCCATCAGGGTGGACCATATCATGATATATTGCACAGTGTGTTGGGGGCGTACACCTGTTACAGACCTGATGTCGGCTATGTAAGTACCATCCTGGATGACATGAATGAATCGTCCCGGTTCAGGGATGTCCTTCATTGAGTGTTTGACATGTATGTGGCATGTTTTAGGTTCAGGGGATGTCCTTCATTGCTGCTGTTCTAATTCTGAATTTGGAGGAAGCCGATGCCTTCATTGCCTTTGCCAACCTCCTAAACAAACCATGCCAGATGGCCTTCTTCAGAGTGGACCATGACCTGGTACACACATCAAATATATTTGTAGTAGACCTGCTACATTTGCTCTTAAAATAGAGGGAGTGTTGTGTCTGCGTTTGCAGTCAGCATTTATTCCAACCATCTGTTGACCCACTTATACAGATTTCATTTGCCAGACAAACTCCGAGTAAAAAAACTGAGCCAAGAACTCCCAAAAGTCACAATCTGCTGACGAACATTCCTTTTATCTTGCACACTCAATGTTGTGCTTTTGATCATGTCTGTTTAAGCTGGAGTTATGCGCTATACTGAAGTGATACTTTTGTTTTTCTCCCAAGATGCTGAAGTATTTTGCAGCATTTGAGGTGTTTTTTGAGGAGAACCTTCCCAGACTATTCCAGCACTTTCAGAACAACAGCTTGACGCCTGATTTTTACCTCATAGACTGGTAAATCTGCTCTTAAAATCTCTCTTCCTGCTCTTTGTTCGTTCCTCTCCTCTCTGTGTGTTTCTTTTCCTTGTTTTGAAATAAGAGAGGAGAGATTCATAAGTAGTTTTCCTGCAGTAGCTCTTTATTGCCCCCTAGGGCTGCTTTTATGTTCTCTCCTGTGGGGGGAAATTTATTCATATTTCTCATATTTAAAAAAAAAAAAAAAAAAGGAAGCCTCAGGCAAGTTTAGGGTGGCTGAATCTAATTAATATTGTTGGGAAACAAGAACGGGATCCGCTTAATAATTGTAATACTGGAAACAACCAGACAAGTGCAGTCTGATTCCCAAACGAATGACTGATGTCACATGATTCTTTATAAAGCATTCTAATATGCTAGATAATTCTAATATCTATCCTTCTGAATTTATCAAATTTTGATGCTTAATATTTTTATGGAAACGGTGATACTTTTTTTTTTTTTCCAGGATTCTTTGATGAATAGAAAGTTCAAAAGAATCTTCTGAGCCATAACAACCCTCTACGCACACCTTGGCAATATAATCGCCATTGGCTAGTAAATTTTTTTGTTTACTCGCCAGACTGATATACTATTTTTTACACACACACACACGTTTACTTAGCTATCTAAATGGGGACATTACATAGACTTCTATTGTTTTTATATACAGATAGTTATACACTTTTTAACCTAAACCCACCCCTACCCCTAACCCTACCCCTCACAGAAAACTTTCTGCATTTTTACAATTTCAAAAGTAAAAAAGAAACTTAGTTTACTTTATTTTTTATAACAGTTTTACATTTAGTCGCCCAGAGTAAGATTTAGTCGCATATGCGAGTGATTTACTCGCAGTGTAGAGGGCTGCATACAAATCTTTTGAATATAATGTGCCCTTGCTAAAAGTATAAATTTTCTTTCAAACAATTTTGAACTGTAGTGTAGTTACTGGATTACATGTTTGCTGCCTCTAAAAAGACTTCATTCATTTTTATGTGAATTTCCTTTCTCAAAATGTAATATTTTATTTTAGTAGATATTTTCATATTTTTTTCTTCAATACTGTGAATTGAATTGCTAATGGAACCTTTTAATAATTGTTAAATTCCTTACAGTTCCCATCTGCAAAAACACAGAGCATCTGAGCATTTGTATCACTTCAAGCAGAATTCTCTCTTACCACTTTTATCTGTCCTGCTCTCAGGATCTTCACTCTGTACAGCAAGTCGTTACCGCTGGACGTGGCATGTCGTGTTTGGGATGTGTTTTGCCGAGATGGAGAGGAGGCGTTATTCCGAACAGGACTGGGAATTCTGAGACTGTACCAGGATGTTCTACTGCAGATGGATTTCATCCATAGTGCACAGTTCCTTTCCCGGCTGCCTGAAAACACTCCTGCACACGCACTCTTCTCCTGCATCGCAAACACACAGATGATCAGTAACAACCGCCGGTGGAACCAGGTGAGAAATACTTAATTTACATTTTTATTAGTAGCAATGAAACTGGAAATGATGGCATAATTGTGAGACAGTTTATTTTTAATTATTAAATATAAATATTGAGATGGTTTATTTCACTTTTTGTTTTAATTATAATTGTAAGCAACATTATTCATATTTATATGATGGTTTGGTCAATCGTAAACCAATAAAATCAAATGATAAAGGCATGTTAAAAAGTATCCAAGCCAGTTTTAATGTGATCTTTGCACAACAAAAAGAAAATGCCTGTTTTAATCAAAATGAAAGACATAAAACAGTCTAAAGTTAAAGAAACTTCAATGGGCTTCCTCTCTTTTTTTTTTTTCCTCCTGCAGGTCTTTTCTGCTCTGATGAAAGATGGACTCAAAGAAACTGACAAAAGCAGCAGCAGCAACAGTCCTGCCTTAAGAAGCTAACAGCTGACTCTCTCCCAGAGGAAGTGATGATGTTTCTGAGACTCTGAAGAGATGCCGGTCATCACTCAGCACTTTGACCTCTGCAGTGTGCCCGAGGGCGACCCGAACGTCTGAGGGACAGCTCAGGCTCAGCCCCCATGTGCTGAATGTCCTGTTTGAAGTATCTCCTAATGAACCTGTGTCATGTGGAAGGGACATTTCTTCACTTGCGCTCGCTAGCGTGTTTATGCGTGTGTTTGTGTAAGAATTAAATGTGAGTCAGGTGACTGTATAATGTGCCAACTTTGTCAATGTTACTTTTGTAATGTTGTGACTATAAGCGTTTACACACACACACACACACACACATATATATATATATATATACATACATACATACATACATACAGAGGTCAATGCCACATTATTTGAACACTCCTTTGGTTGATGTGAACCAGAGGTAGGCCCTCTGTTATACACACACAATATAAACCTGCAGTAGCCTTTCATTAGCACATACCAAATCTGTTGTTAATGTGTTTGTTACACTATGTCTCTCCATTTATCTGAATTCAACCTGTTTGCTAACATATTTGCCTCTGACAGCAAGCATAGAGCCATTCAACTCTGCGACCATCCTCAGTATGTCCCAAAAACACACCGACGTAGAGCCAAAGTTAATAGAAGAGCATATAACAATTTCTATAAACAGATGCTGTCGGATATTAGCACTCCAGATTTTGTGCTTCACAAAATAATTGGCTATATTAATTTAAATAAAAGGTTTGAACACACTTATATAACACATGTACACGCATTAACCAACCAGCAGCAAACAAGCGATCAGCTTTTAGCTTTTGCACCTTCTACTACACTCCAAATGAATGAACCTTCATATTTCCAATTTTATTTTCTTCAGTTATTTAATGTCTGTTTGTTTTTGTTTTTAATTTAAGGATTATTTCTCTTGCTTTTTTCCCTTTTTTAATCTTCACTGTTGTACAGTTTTCTTATGTAACAGTTAATGTACATTACTGGTGTGAGGGCTCTAGTGTAGATGTGGAAAAATACTCAGTATTGGAGACCTGCTGTCTTCCTGTCATTTTTTTTTTTTGTTCATTTTTTTTACAACATCTTGTAAAATTGAATGTTGCTTAGAAGTTTATTAGAAGGTACAAACCAGACATGCGGTCAGCATGCCTTTGAGGAGTGCCAATTGCAGATCATTGGAAAATGTATTTTAAAATTTGCTGCTTGATGAGAGGTTTATGGTCCACTGTGTCATTGTTTTTAAACATTAAATGTAATGAAATACTGCTTAAGAAAAAGCAGTTTCTCCTATTAGCTCTTTACAGAATTAGGGTCTGTTCACACAGAAGGCATTTTTGCATTCCACTGCACTGCTTTCTCATTGTTTTTCATTGTCAACTTGTACTAGACAGATGTCTTTTCATGTCTTGCATCTTTTGCTTTTAACAAATGAGACAGCATTTTCAAAGTGTTAAAGGAATAGTTCACCCAAAAATGAAGTAATTTTTGCCTGCACTTAGGCCATCCAAGATGTAGATGAGTTTGTTTCCTCGTTGGAACAGCTTTACATCACTTTCTCACCAATGGATCCTCTGCAGTGATGGATGCCATCAAAATGAGTCAAAACAGCTGATAAAAACATCACAATAATCCACAAGTCATTAAGTCCATTAACAAGCTGTGTGTTTGTAAGAATCAAGTCCATCATTAAGGTCTTCACAAGAGGTTAATTGATTGACTGGAGTCATGTGGATTACTTGTGGATACTTGTAGATTCACACTGCGTGATTGGTCCCTTAAAGAGAACTAAACAAGGCATCTATTTATTGCAACTATACTGTTATAAACGCATTCCTATGGCAGAGAACAAAGTTGATTTTCATTTGTCAGAAGTGTGATAGTGACACTGAAAGACCCCGTGCTTGGCAAATGCATTTTATTCTTTATTCCTTTTATAAAGTTAGCCTTTATTTAAAGTCACAGCCATGAGCCGTGATTTGCTACTTGCTGTCACTAGTAAGTGGTATTAAAGGTGCTGTATGTAGGATTGACACCGAGTGGTTGAACTAGGTATTGCAGTCCAAATAAAAAATTTGGAGAGGGTTTTTTTTCACCCGGCCCCTCCTCCTCAGACTTGAAGCACACGCAGGTTGCCAGATTGACGACACCAACAGGAACAAGCGCACTTGACAATGAATGAAATGAAATATGTGGTGTTTTCCGCCAACTGGCAACCCGGGGTGCCGAAATACAATTGGGTAAACTGGCAGTGGGCGGGTTTCCCAAACCAAAACAGACCGGAATGGCCTGGGACGGCACATTTTCAAAGGAGAATGACTAGCATTGTTTTTCAGATAAACAAGCATGTTAACTTAGCATGTTTCTTAAATATCTGCAATCATATTATGGTATATTTATGCTTTAGTAGAGTCAAAAACTTACATACAGCACCTTTAAGGGAAGGGGAGGTTTTATTCTAGATAACATTGTGTAAGACAGATGGTGGTGTAGAGGTTTAGAAGAGAAAAACTTTTTTAAATGGATGTATCGGCTAAAAATACATTTTTGGCAGCTTGGAGCACAGTAGCTTTTAGTTATAGTAAAGACACAAAAACTACACTGAGACAATTAACCATGAAAATATAATAAACAGAAAAAAGGTCTTAATTTATTTAACCAACCAGGCATTAACATGAGGGTTATAAAGCAAATGGAAACCATTGACCACCAATCTAATCCAAAAACCGTTTATTACATCATAAACTTTTTCAATCCTAGTATGAATGTTTACATTTTTCAGAGCAAGAACGTTGCAGTATGTTTGGTTTGTGGAATACTGTTCATAGGACAATGACAACGGGGACAAACTTCAGGTTGGGCTTGATATACGACCAGAATGTCTGCACATTTTAGAAAGTTCTGGAGTTTTAGGTTTTAAATCTTCTCTGGTTGATCACATTTAAATGTAACATGCTAAAAGCGTCTCTATATAAGTGAAGCGTCCCTGTAATACACTGTATGCGACTGGACTGTCATCTACAGGATGCATAAAAACATTTACATCATGTTTAGGCGTTCAACCAGAAAAGACTCACCAATGACCGCTGACTGAAATGTAGTGCAGTTACAAAAGCTCAAACACAACTGATGCTTTTAGAAGACCTTAAACACTGACTAAGGGGAATCCTTATCACCCTCTGCTTTTTTCTTGTCTTTCTTTTTCTTCTTTTCTTTTCTCTTCATTTTCTTCTTCTTCTTTTTCTCACTCTTTGTTGATTCTGCATCATCCTCGTCATCATTTTTTCCCTTTTTCTCTTTGTATTTGTCTTTACTCTCATCCTTACTGTTTTTGCCCTCGGGCTCGTTTTTGAGTTCGATACCTGTAGAATGAGGACTTCTTTCGTCTCTGGTGTGCTTTCTGTCAGGACTGCGTTCCCTGTGGTCCTGGTAGACCCGTGAGGACGTCGACCTCTCAGGCCTACTGTGTGCGCTCTCTCGTCTGTGAGATGAGAAGTGATGCTGGTCTTCATGTCTCTTAGCATCCCTGTGCTGCTCCTGTGACCCTGTTGTCTGCAAAGACGAGAGAAAGCTGATGTTTCTTTCCCACAATTCACTATTCTGTATTACAGATTGGAGTAAGTGATCAATGGAAAATGGCATTTATAGTGCCACCTTGTTCCTGTCCTTGCGGCTGTGACTTTCTGCATGTCTCTCTGCACTGTTCAGATCGCTGAAGAACTCCTCACAGCACTGGCAGAAGAAACCCATCACCGGGATCAAATCACCCCCACCTACAATCAAGATACATGTCGATACATAAATACATATTTGCAAAGGTACACAGTTGAACCAAACTGTTCAATAATTATTGACAGATTTAATTAAATAAAATCAATAAATAGTTGTATTTAAAAAAAAATATATGGTTCAAGTAAATAAAAAAAAATTATGAATTGAACCCAAATAAAAACAATATATGGCTAGAATAAATAAATAAATAGTTGCATTGAACAAATAACAAAAACAATATCATTATTGTGGATTGTGGTTCAAGTAAAAAAATAAAAAATAAAAAAGGTTAATTACGGTGACCTAGAAGTGCAAAACAAATCACAATTCTGAAAACAAAATAACAAATTACAAATTTGTAATAAAAGACCCGGGTTTTTTTCCCTCCCTTTTCAAATCTCGTATTAGCAATGGATTCTAGTTTTCTGAATTTTTGTGCTTTCTGAATTGTTATTTTGTTTTTTAGACTTGCATTTGCGTTTGTAATTTGTTATTTTGTTTTCAGAATTGTGATTTGCTTTGCACTTCTCGGTCACCGTAGTTCATGGTTCAAAGAAGTAAAAAAAATGTTGTATTGAACAAATAAAAACTACATTGTTATATGGCTCAAGGTTGAAATAAATATATTTATTATTTTTTTAAAAACACACATTTTTATGGTTCAAATAAATTAAATGGATGAATTGAACCACAAGATAAACAAGACTTAAAAATATATATTTTAACTGAACAGAAACAATACTATTATATGGTTCATATTTCAAATAATTAGTAAATAAATAATGTTGAATTGAACCAAAAGAAAAATTAAGAAGCATTCTGTGATATTTTAAAGATGTGGATCATGATCATTTTTATAATTCATACATAAAATGTAAATATTCTTATTCAGCATTTGCTAATTTAGGTCCAGTGGACATTAGCAAGGCAGCTGAAATCACTAATAGCATCTTTAAGTAACTTAATTAGATAAGTTGCTCAAGTTAATACCTTCCTGTTTCAGCAGACCCTCCAGTTCCTTCACCAGGTACTCTTTCCTTTTCTTTTGAATCTGTTTCTCTCGTCTGTCCTTCTCACCCATCTTCTAAAACAGTCAAGGGTGTTCACAGTCAGCATGACATAATACAGAGCTAACAGTGTTAACTAAGACTTTAAGCGTTGTGATGCAAGACAGATTTCCAGACTCCTCATACCTTCTCCTCATGCCTGGGCTCTTGATTAGAATGGCTGCTTCCAGAGCGATTACTCTGACTGTCATCTGTTTTGGATGCTGAAAACAGACACTAAAAGTTGAATGCATTACAAGCACAAGGTTCTTGAGAAGTCTTCTAGGTCTTTTATCATTTCTTCAAATAGCGGACAAACATCAAGAACAAAACAACAGCTATGATGCAATGCAGACTCTTAAAATACACTTTCAAGAATCTCCTGACAAGCCTGCAACTTAAAAGACCAGTTAATTCGGTTCCAATTACAGATTCCATTCAAACTTTGTTTTGGAGATAAATTCAGCCTTTTTTGCTTTATACATACTTTAGCAAAACTTCTGAACTTTTTTGAAAATACTTTTTAAATAGCTTGAAAACCTCCCACTGATATGGATAGCATGTTCAGTACTCAAACCTCTAACTCTGCTGAAGTTATATTACTCTAACTCTGCTGAAGTTAATATTTTCATACTGAATAGTGCTTGGTCTTTATCAAACTTTCAAGTTTCACTTTGGATAAAAGTGACAACTAAAAAGCATAAAACATTGCTGGTTCTGACCTCTGGACAATGCTTGCAGCGCCTCCAGGGCTGGTTTGAGCATCGAGAGCGAGCCTGGCATTCCTTGTTCTTCCTTTTTTTCCTTTAGTCTGGCAGCCATTTTACAGATGTCAGCCATGCCTGGATTCAGGCCGATGGTCCTCAAGAGGGTTCTCACCTTCTCGCATTCCTCTGGAGAGACTTTTGTCGTGCCAGAAGCAGCGGGCTGCACGCTAGCAGGCATTGCATGAGCTTTGGGTTCCTGGAGACTATGAGTCTGGTGTTCTTTACTGAGATGATGAACCGGAGACCTCACAGATCTTGTCTGGGCCAACGGAACCGTCACAGCCTGAGGTTTGGATCGCTCCTCTTCCTCTCCATATAGGAATTTCTCTTCATCTTCAACACTCTGGAATGCAGGCTTGGTTTCAGGCTGCTGGTTGGGTGTGTTCCAGGATAAGATATTGGAAAAGCTGCTGCTGTCTCCGCCAGCCCTCTCGTGAGGAAGCAGGGAACCATAACAGAGTTCAGCAGAGATTTCAGATTCTAACCTCGGTTCTGGGTTGTGGAAGCCTCTAACTGCAGGCTGATTTGCCAGAAACATTCCCCTTGTGTCATCAGTATTCTGTTTAGAAGACCAGGGAAGAGAATTCACATTACTTGTAGATGTTTAAATGGTCTGGAAGTCAATGAGACAAAATAAACATCAATGATAAGAATCACCAACAAAGAAAAAAAAAGTCTCTTAATAATCTAGTATTGTGCGAAGTTCCTAAAAGTGTACTCTTTGCATTCAAGTTAGTTTAGAGTTCAAATTTATTGACTGTAAAAGGTAATATATTTTACCTTGAACACATCTTAATCATTTAAAGAAAAAAAGTTTATATTTTTGAAAGAAGTTTTTTTTTTTTTTTTTTTTTACAAATTTGAACATTTTACATTAATAAAAGGTTACGTAAAATGACTTAATAAGGGTTTCTAGAATTTTCAAAAGATCCAAATAAATATCAAAATTTTATTTACTTTTTTTTTTTTTTTATTAAAAACCAAGTCTGTATGAATTGCATTTTAATGTTTTTCCTTTTTAGCTACATACTATGTTTTTATACTTTTTGTCTTTACAATTGGTGATTCTTCAGAGGTTTGCCATTTTGAATGATTTATGGTCAAGTTTTCTTGTTTATGCTACCCACAGCCTAAGCTACTTTTCTCTGTGTACAGAAATTACATGGCAAGCATGGGGGAATGATGTTTGTATACAATTTCCCGTAAAAACATTGTAACAGCTTTATATTGTATTGTATTACATTAATATTATTACAGGTTTATCAAAGTGGATTTGGGTAAAAATGGGTTGGAAGTTGGATTATTTTGGACGGTCTCAATAACATTGTTTTATTAAAAAAAAAAAAAAAGTTACATAGTGTAGCTTTAATAAACATCATGTCATTCATTGAACCATAAACCAAAAAACATAAGAGACTCAAACTCAAAACATAACAGAATAGTGTTGTGCACCTGGTTTCTAAGTAGGGCGTCCTTGACCAAAGGCAGGTGTTTGTCTAGATCCTTGTTCTGTAGGATCTGTCTTAGTCCATGAAATAGATCAGGCATGGCACTACCGCCAAGACTTATTCCGCTGCTGGTGCTGCTAGAGCCTTCAGCAGTCCCTCTGGAAGAATGTTTTGTCTGGCTGGGGCTTAGGCGTGACTGACTCTTACTGTGCGTTCCGCTCTTCCCGTGACTACGACTGCGGCTACGACTCCTCGCACGACTTTTGGCCCTTGTGCGGCTTTTACCTCGACTGTGACTACGGCTGCGTGTTCTGCTGCGAGCCCGACTCTTTCCACGACTCCGAGCTCGACTACGAGCCCGGCTCCTTCCACAGCTCCTGCTGCGACTGCGTGGACGGCTCCTCCCTCTGCTCCGACTCCGCGTTCGGCTTGGATGCTCGTCTCCTGTGCCATTGTCACTTTTATCTCCTGCCAGCTCAATCCGGTCACTTGCTTCCAGGATTCGGAGAAACTCTTCTGCCTTTTTCCTTTATTGAAACACAATGGAAATGGATTTAGGGTTAATTAACAGATTTATATGCACACACATATATACAAACATACAATATTGATAATAATAATAATAATAAATGTTACTTGAGCATCGAATATGCATATTAGAATGATTTCTGAAGGATCATGTGACACTGAATACTGGAGTAATGGCTGCTGAAAATTCAGCTTTGCTGTCACAGGAATAAATTACTCAAAAAAAATTTAATTCAACGCATAGATAGCAATTATAACACAATTCAAATTAAACATACAAAATCTCCTTGTTTAGTTCCTGATACCTGACTTCTTGGTTTTGCTCATCTAGACTTTGGGTTGACCAGTTTTGTGAGGAGTGACCAAGCTGATGCTGGTTTGAAGGTGTGAGCAGAGAGCTGATCAGCGTGGATCCACTTTGGTCAGCAGTGGGGCTGGTGAAGGGTCGGCTCTGCAGGAGAAAGACAGGAATGAAAGAAAAAGAAATATGACTACACAGACAAGTAACATGTCCATATTCATATAAAGATATACGATTCATATAATATCCAGTACAAAAGTCTGAGATCACAATAAAAAAATCTGATATTTCTGTTATTTAAACCTAGAAAGGATAGTCTTTAAATCCTACCTTTTAAAGCAAAGTATTTAAATATTTGCAGGCCACTAATCAATCAAACAAATTAGTGCCATTGTAAATGCATGCTTTAAGTAGTTTTAAATGAAGCATGACATGCCACACTGCAGGACACTGCTTGAAATTGCCTTTCAATTACCAACATGAAATACTATTTTACTATGCTTTCATGCACTGCACTGAAAATTAATTTCTTACATGGAATTCAAAGATACTGGATATATATACAGTTATCCAATATTAAATTAAATGTATCAATATGGCATTTTGATCAGGTGGATGTAGCCAATGCTGCGACAAGAAGATGCTGATTGGGTTTATGACTGCACCAACAAACACGAACCTCGTAAAAAGATTTTCTGTTGTAGTTTTCATTCCCTGTTCCGTACGGGCGTCCCGGAGAAGGACCGGGCGGTGGAACACAGTATCGAGGCCCCGGAGGAACCCCAAAAGGAGGGCAGAACGGCGGAGGTCCAAAAGATGCTGCGGGGTGTCCAAACCCTGACGGGGGTACCAGTGGCCGGTGATAGTCCGGGTTTGACGTACCTCGGTACATTTTTGTACATATATATCTGATCAAAATATGTGTAGTTACAACGAGTTAATTTTTTTATTCACTCTCTGAGCTCCTGTGCGTCTACATGAGTCTGAGCGCAGCCACAGCGCCGCCTGCAGGACTGGAACCACAGCGCAGATCACAGAAACGCCTGTCTAACCAATGCCAGTTCAAAACTGTTTCACTTATGTTATATACGCCAACGCCGTGAAGTCGAACATATAAATACACTATATTGATGTAACCGTTGAACAGGTTTTCCCTAATGTACATTGGTTCACCTCTTATGGATTGAGGCACACATGCAAACAATGAATAGCTGCACAACATGGCTCAGTGTTACTTGGGATATTGTGAACTGATAATCACAACTGCAACAATAAAAGTGTATCCTTTTATTTTTTTATTTAGATAACAATACAATTATATAGATAATACGTGATCAAATAAAGTTGTGAATTAAAAATGCACAAAATGAAAATTAATAACAGAATTTAGTATTTTAAATAAAGGCTTTGTACGGCTTTTTAAATATAGATCAAGTATTCTCATTATTCATAGCAAATAATAAATTAATAAATGAAAAACATATATATAACAATTATAAGTAATAAATAAACGAGTTATTAAATAAAATAAAATAAATTATTCACTTTATAATTTAATTAGTAATTATTTGAAAAATATTGTTGTATATTTTCTTTAAGATAATTTGTGAAGCCATAAAAAAGTGAACGCAAGAACTGATCAAATGTTTCCGGCATGTTTCTGGTCGCCTACATGAACTGTAAGGCCCCCATTATGCCAACCTAGCGTTGCAGTCTTTACGGCTGCTAGAGGGAGTAATTTACAATGGAGTTTACTGATACTCTTGATTCTTTGGAGGACCTTGGGTAGGTGAATCAAACCTCTCGTTGTCATATTTAAATTTTTTGCTTTATCAGCCGTTTTTATTTTCGGTTTAACGGCATAAATCTGAGCTCGTGGACGCATGTCCCGGCACGCCGGTGTTCTGCATGATCTGAGACACAGAACCGCTTTCCCTATTCTGAATTAATTTTTAATTTCCAATGTTTTTTAATCCTCAACACCCGTGATTTGTTGTCTGTCACATTATATTAGAGCTGGGGATGTTGGTACACGTATTTGAGAGCATGATTTATATAGTCAATGAATTGATTAGGCCGTGCAGCGTCAGCAGTGCTCAAAAATCTCAAATATCTCCTCTGCCATAAATAGCCTGAATCATTATAGCCTAAATGAACACACCTCTGTCACCACATTCCCAGCTCTCGATGTGTCAGACGAGTTTACAAGATCATTAAACTCGTGGAGTGTTCTAGAATCAGTGAAGATCTGGTAGGGATGGGTCGTATTTGTATGAGAATAAAGACCTTTAACGTTAGATGTAATAGGAAAATTATTGGTAATGCTATTTGAGGACGAGAAATAACTGTTGTATAATGTCGTACTTTCTTAATTGAAAGCGTTTAGCTTTTTAAATATATACCAGAGGTAAGTATGCTTAGATATTGCACTGTTGCAACATCATTGGGTCACTTCACATTCTCCTATATAGCAGGGGAAGTGCAGGATGACCCAGGACCATATCGAAATGCAAGCATAAGCAAATAAACTGCTCAGGAAAGTGTGTGTGTGTGTGTGTGTGTGTGTGTGTGTGTGTGTTTACAGATACCAAGGTCCTCTCCTAGAGGACAGAGCTCTTGAGACAGCTGTGACTGGTGGCGCTGCATCTCCAGAGTTCACTAAACTCTGTGCCTGGCTTGTGTCTGAGCTGAAGCTCTACTGCAGACTAGAGGAGAATGTGCAGGCGACCAACTGTGAGTGTGATCCTGCATATAAAATTTAATCTACGAGACCAAGGAAGTGTCAGTCAGAGTGTGAATTCTGGGTTTTGTCTGCGGTTTGTTTGGGTGTGGCTTGTATTGGTTTTGGGTGTGGCTTGTGCAGGTCCGAGCGAGGCTGAGGGGTTTCAGCTGGAGATGAGTGGTCTTTTAGCTGAGCTGTGCTGTCCGTATCCTGCTCTCATCACCGGAGAGGTCACCAAACGTCTGCTGAATGCAAACAACTGCCTGTTACTGCTAAGTATGCAAACAAAATCAAGGGGGTGTTGGTGAATTTTGTTACTTGAAATAAAATTTAACTGAAATATTAATTTAAACTTTTTTCGGCTTGTTGCCATGCCAAGGCAGCAGTTCTCATTTTCTTTCATTTCAATTTGATTTACTAAAACAAGTAAAAATGAGTTGTAAAATTAATATGAACTATATAGACATGAAAAAATTACTATTAAAAAAAATAATAATAATTCAAAATGTGAATAAAATCTATTACAGTATCTCAATGGTACTATTAAGATCCTTTGACATCTTAAATATTTTTCATACTCATACCATTCTTTCAGGCTTCTTGATCTCCGAGCTCGAGGCGTCTAGGATGATCCTGGTAAACCAGCCCCAGAAGAAGGTGCAGGAGACTGGTGGCAGTAAAGACTTCATGGAGCTGAAGGGCATCTGTATGGCCCTGGGCATGTCCAAACCTCCTGCCAACATCACCATGTTCCAGTTTTTCAGTGGAATTGAGAAAAAAGTGAGGTTTATTAACAGGCAGTTTATATTAATATATAATAAATGTGTGCACCCACATTGGGTCACTTAATTGATTTGTGCAGAAAACCTCTGTGCTTTCACACTAGTATTATATATATAATTTATTATTTAATAATATTAATATATTAAAGGGTTAGTTCACCCAAAAATGAAAATTAGCCCATGAATTACTCATCCTCAAGGCATCCTAGGTGTATATGACTTTCTTCTTTCAGACGAATCCAGTCGGAGTTATAT